CGGTTGACGCGCAGGTCGAAATGAGAAATGAATCATCCTCTGATGCAGACGTGCTGCACATACATCTCACGATAACCTGGTGTCAGGGAGTGAAGCCGAACTTAAAAGAACACCTCCTATATCAAAGTGGAATATTAAACTGCAGAATTTGCTGAAAAACTCTTACATACTGAAGATATGTACTCCCACCTAGACCACCTTACTCTGCCCTGACAGTCTGCATCTGCTTTGAACTACAATTTCCCTCAAGTCAAGACGGTACGTTCTGCTGCAGCTGTGCTGTCATCACTAGTTTCACTGCAGCTTTTATCAGAATATTGCCCAAAACATTGCATCTAAAATGATTGCATTTACGGACTTTGTGTACATGTAAAGCATTTGCGCATGAAATTCACCTCAGTAGATAGAAGCTGATCCTTTTTCACATCCATATCTTCTCCTTTTCCGTGCCTCACCTCTTTCCTCTAATCTCCCTCTACATCTTTACACCTCTGCCCTTCCCCCTCCCCCTTATCATTGCTTTTCCCACATCATCATCACCACCACCGTCCCCATCCTCTCTCTCTCCCTCTTCCCCCTCTCTATGACCCTGGTCTTTTCCTGGAGAGCACTGAAGCATGGAAAAGCTAGGTTTCGCTCCAACACCCGTCCAATAGCCATCAACCTCTCCCCCGTACATGAGCCAATTGCTAATCACAGAAGACCAACGGGGGAGGGGCTAAACATGAAGGGTTGGGTGTGGTGATGGAGTTGGTCGTGGGTATGTGTGTGTGTGTGTGTGTGTGTGTGTGTGTGTGTGTGTGTGTGAGAGAGAGAGAGAGAGAGCTGGTTGCTACTTGATTCGTGAGACATAAAGGATACTTGGCTCCTCTGGGGACAGAGGAAGATCACCATAATGTCCTCTCCATCGTCTCCAGTGAATACATTTGCAGATTCTGATGATCCTGCTGCAGCAGCAGCTTCTGGAGCTGCTGCTTATGCTGAAGAAAGCTTCATTGATTCATTCCAAACAGCAAGAGCACATGATGTAAGGTTGTGTGACAGGATCATCATATCTTTCCAAAGGCATGGACGATTGTGATCACTCTCATAGCATGAACCCATAGCAGCCACCATGGCAGGTTGGCTGATCTGAATGTGTTATCTTGATTATTTTCTCCATGTTGATGGAGCCCTAGGATTTAAACTTAAATACTGCTCTCATTTTATTTGGAATACTTTTTTGGACCCTGTTCTGTCATGATGCTGGAAATGCTTTGAGAGCAGAGTACAAGCTGAAGACATGTCCATCCAGATCCTGTCTCCTGGGCCATGTAAGTTTAACATAGATGTGCATTTGACACACATTGATATCACATATTGATATATTGTGAGTCTATATTAATAGTTAACTGTTATGAATTTTCACTGCTCTTGTTTTGCGGCAAAACTCTTATTGATATCATTTTATAATTTGGTGGCGAAGACGTTTGACAGCACAGAGACAGAGGAAGAACCAGTGGACAGTGCTGTGACATCAGCAGTTCTTCTCGCTGGTCTTTGTCCTTCATCAAGTAATATGAGAAAGTGATATCAGGATAGATTACAGTGACATCTGTACCTGTGTAGAAGTTCCTGTACGTAATACCAACAGGCTAATAAGTAGAAAAACAACAACAAAAACAACAATTTCTAACTTTTACTTATATTATGGTTAGTCTCCATGGTAACGGGCAGTTAATAACTGCTCAAATCAAACTCATGACCGAGTAGTTCAACACTGTTGTATGGATGTGTCACATGTTTGAGCCCATGAGACATGCAGTAATTGCCATGTCTTCTTGTTGAGATGTATTGCAGTCCAGTAGCAGCCGCCGGCTGTTTCTAAACTCTGCTCCACACTTTGATCCACTTTCTGAGAACATCACAACATTTCTATTTTTGGTCTCACACTCTAGAGTAATGAATGCATGCGAATCATGTGCTGTCACTTTTTTTTTTTTTTTTTTGCTGTAAACACAGTTTGTGTTTGAAAGGGGGCTGGATGGTAAAAACCAGAGGGGATAAACAGATGACCAGTTTTTTAATTTTTGTACCATGAAAATACTACTCAGTATTTTCTATTACTACACACACTTCACAACACATATATTTTAAACATGCTTCAGTTGATGGAGAATGGTTCTGCAGTTGAATTTCACAACAAAGCCATGTCAGGGATCATTCTTTATCTACATACTAATTTGATTAAGATAAAATGCTTGTTTGCAGCTGACACTCGAATAAATAAAAACATCAGGGACAAAGTCCTGTGTGTATAAAAAATGACACCTTTTTTTTACAGCCTTACATTAATATTGCATTAATAGAAGATTCCTTCTAGCTCTGCCACTTGATGGCTCGAGACAGCTACTAAAGGATGTAATCATTTTAGGACCAGAGGTCGAGCAAGAAGATCACTGGTTGATTCTTTTTTTTTAATTAAAAAAATAAAGAAAATTTGTTTCAATTTTTATTTTAAATGTTTAAAAAAAATTAAATATTTGGGATTGTGCTTGTCTAAGTCATTTGTTTAAGCAGGAAGGGAGTTTGATCACACAGGGCGGTGTATGGTTTTTGATTCTAAGCAGACTCACTTGTCTGATGGCAGCCATTGGCCAATGAAAAAGTTACAGATCATAAGAAGATCAGTAAACTTAAAAGTCCTCACACTGTCTTGTGGTTTGTTTGTTCCGGCTCAAAAACTACATGTGTCTACACCACTGGGATCGGTGGAAATAATGAGTTTAAAGATTTGTGACTTTCTCTGTGAAGTGACTTTTTTCATAGCGCCCTGTAAACTTCATTCAGATGCTGCACATCTGTTGTCCTTGTTTTAGTGTAATTAAGATGACGTTGGCATTGGCTCACCCCGCACTTTTATTTCATGTGGTTAAATATATATTTAAAAATGACTCTAGGTCAAAGTATGTCCATCTCGTCATTTGTAGAACTTTGTAGATTGTGAGACTTTGTCTTAGCCTGCAGTGCAAATAATTGATATCTATTGTTGGACCATTTGGTGCATGTTCTATCCCTCAGGATAAGGAATCATACTCGGAAAATAATGATGGAAATTAAACACAGAGGTTTTTAATGCAGCCCAGTTGTGTGTGTTGTTGTGATCTTGGTTTTTTAGATAACACAGCTGTTAATGAGAGGAAGGTCTGAGGATGATGAAAGGAAGAAATCCAATCAAACTTCTCATTTTGATGCTAAGCTCCAGACGCACGCGTTCACTTTTGAGGATCAAAGACGTGGCTCAACCCGATCCTCCCTGATGTGGAGTATAATCCACGATGTTTCTAGTCCAATAAAACCAGAGCCACTACACAAACTGATTAATCTCTAAATAATGGGTTTTACCTGACACTGCTAAACATGTTCTGACTGCATGCAGGAGACCGTGGTTGGACCTCAGATCTCAGAGTTTTCACAATCCGATGATTGTGCTGACTCTGAGGATAAAGTGCCTCCTCGGCAATAATGCCTGAGCTTGTAGGTCATATAATACTAAAAGTGTGACTAAATTTAATGATCAAATTATAATAAACCCAAACACTAAAAAATACAGCTTTTGAATTGCTTTTCTGATAAAGTCTTTGTGCAGGACATCTGAACCCAGATTGTTATCAATCACTCGGGGACTGGAAGAGCGCCCACAAGGTGCACTTCCTGATATTTCTTTGCCATCAGAAAATTACCAGTAATAATATCACTTATTATTAATGTTTCTTTTACACGTTGATATAATTATTTGAATTATCATTATGTAATTAAAGAATGAATTAGTTTTTACTCAATATTTAACCACTTGTCATTCATTTGTCTTTCTTGCTTATGTTGACCTGTCGGCTGTCAAGGTGTGGACTGTAGTATCTGCTCTCTGTGTTTGTGTTTGTAACTGGGGGCTGTTATTGGCTTAAAAAACAATGATCTTTGCTGCCGCAGATCTGAAGTAGTCTGGGTCTTGTCTAGTCTTATTTTACTTTAAGGTTTTAAATAATTCTCACCTAAGCCCCTGCATTTAGGCCTCTTGGCTGTGAAGAAAACCTGTGGTGACCCGTAAGCCTTTAAAACACAAACAGCCAGCCATTACTGGTTCATCTGCAGCTGCATAATTAGAGTGTGACTCAGGATTGTTGTTGTTGTTGTGCTTCCTTCATTAAATTCTCATTACTTACCTGTCATCTTCACTAATTGCTAGAGAAGATTTAAGATGAGAATGTTGTTGAAATTGTCAGAGTGGATACACAGTGGTCAGACTGATGTGTAACACTAATTCATTTCCCCTTTCAATCTTCCTCTCCAGTGTGTGACACTTGGATAGGTCACGGGTTACAGATTAAAGACGTGTCCCTCCCATTAAAACCACAGTTGCACGGTTTAATTTCTAATTGAAGAAACATTTAGTTAATTTAAATTTGAGAACATATTTTGGCTTGGTTCAGTTTCTCACTGGTTGGTCATGCTGAAAAACTGTTCTAAAATAAGGTACTGATGATGTCATAGATACTATAGTTTTCCAGAGATAAAACTCTTCATCTGATCAGGGTATGCAGTGACCCCTACTGTGCAAAACAAAGACTGCAGGGGGTCAGTAACTGTATTCCTTCTTCTCTCCATCCCATCCCTTCTATTATTTCCTTTTTTGGACTTTTTTTTAAACATTTGAATTGAGTTTAACGCCCAAACATGTGGCAGTTATGTGTCTTTCAACCATCATACAGACTGAAACTGAAAGCGTAGCGTGGTTCAGAGCAGTCAGGGTGGAGTCCAGATTCAAATGTGGTTCTGTGTTGTTTGCTCGGAACTGAGGCCGCGGTCATGAAGAGGCCTGCAATTAAATGGCTTGAAGGGAGCATCCTAAATTGGGACCAGACACAAACCAGTCAATGCTGGTATTCTTTTATCCTCTTTTTCTCAAATTCCTGTCCTTCCATTTTTGTCACTTTTTTTCACTTTCTCAAATTCCTGTCCTTCCATTTTTTGTCACTTTTTTTCACCCCTCCCTCCCCCGCCAACATCCTTTGTCAGCTGGTTAGACAAGGAGACATTTGGGAGCCTCAAAGAAAATATGAAAACAACTGGTTGACACTAAGTTGAGAGAAGCTCAGCTCAATTAGCGTGACGTATGCCCTCTACTGTCAGTCAACAACAAAGTTAGACACCACAGTTAAACTTCCACCATTTAAACCAGTTTCTTTTCATGTTTTAGCTTTGACATTATTTAAGGACAAAAACAAATCCAACGCATTACTTCACTCACTGACCACTGGTCACAGGGTGTTCTGGCACATATGCATGTAAAGGTTACCCATGCATGTAGGTCAGATATTTCACCAGACAGTGCTGTTGTTTCCTGTTGACTTTAGCCTGTTTTTCCCAGAGCTGTAATAACAGCGTAAAGACACTGATTCCACTGTAGCTGACACCTGGTTTAGAGACATGAAGCCGCAGAGTTTTCTCTGTGTCCTGTTTGTATTTGAGTGTCAGCTTAACAGGATAGGGCCTCACTAGAGGTCACTTCCAGTGAAATAAGTGTGTTTGCACGTGCAACATGTCTTCAACTGGACCATTGTCATTTTGTTTATGGTTGATTCTGTTGACATGGACGTCTATGATTTTAACCTGGTGATGTTGTTGTTTAATCATCTGTTCAAATGTAGGGCAGTGATATATTTGTATCTTAACATCCAATGCAATGAACCATAGACAGTGCAGCATGTCAACAGACGACCCCCCACACCCCCATGACATACAGAGTGTGGACAGTGTCCAACTGGTGGACAGTTGTTGACAACATCAGTCCTGTTGTTCAAGGTTTCCATGGATATTTGTGGCAGTGTAGAGGATTGTCTTTGGAGGACAAATCTGTAAATCAGACTGAGCTGTCTAAGTTTTCATGCTCTTGTCATTACGATGTATATTGGTGGTAAAGTATGACACTAATAAATTTGTTAGATTGAAACTCCGAAGGTGGGAGTGAAACAAAAAATCAGGTTCTGGAAGATTTCTGTGCATCAATTCCTGCTTAGAATCTTTCATAGAAAATACTGTCTTTTCAATAAACTGTGCAATTAAGGGCTTCAACTACAGTTTAACATTATTGTCTATTTTATTGAGGTATGAAATTAACTTTAGAAAGATATTAAGATACTAGTGAGCGAGACAGTAAGCTCTTCAGAGTGATCTTACTTTTTCCATAGATGTAAGTATTTATGAGGCGTTACCACTAGGGGGGATTTAACTTCTATACTGTCTGTAGTTTTTAATTGTATATTGGATTGTTCCTTTTCTTTATCTAAGGACCAGCACGAGGGGCAGGTTGACAGGAGGAAAATGACAGTAACAACAATAGAGCAGAATTAATTTATGTGAAATATAATTCCTAAACGATACACACACAGGACACGAACATGTATCTAAACAGACCTGCTCATCGTGGCCCTAGTCTGTGAGGAGGATTTGTTTCAGAGTTTTGTTCATGAAACCGAATGTTAAAATATTTGTGCAGGTTTCACAGCAGCATGTTTTCAGCTCTGTTCACAGGCTTTATTCCAGGTTTTGTTTTGCTCGCCTTTTTTTCTGACAGGAACTGACACAGGAAGGAAAAGAAGAGTAGTCACTGTGGGATTATTTTAAGCGTGGCCCAAATATTTACTCACAACAGATGTGTTCCCTCCTTCATGCAAAGACATATTTTGTATGAACTGTACAGGTCACAATTTCATTTCGACATTTTAATGTTCATTGACATGAACTGAACTGAAGACCTTGATAAAAAGATAAAACTAAAAGTCACTCATCTAAACTTGTGTCAACCTTTTCTAAAGTGTTTTTTTTTTTTTTGTAAAATTAATTCCTGATTAAAGCCAGTGGTGCCTTTGGTGTCCTAGGGAGTACAGCACTCACAGCTGTAATGCATTTATACAAGCAGCTTAATGCATTACTTTTTGTATAAATCTATCAGAGCTGTAGTTCACACCACATATTATGGCCCTCCTCTTCTCCTCCCACCCCCCTCCTCTCCCCTACACCCTGCCTGTCAGGTGTTGTTTGGCCTGCTGTGGTTTATGAGCCTGGTTTGTTTTGTGACGGGACAATCACAGTCCAGTTTGGGTAGAAGATGCCAGTGAAAAGCGTTGCCTGAGTCATACAAAATGTCCTCCACTTCATTGATATGGAGATGGAGCTCAGCTGGCTGCCCATTGAGTTTGTACTGTATACTGTTGTTGCCTCACAAGAACTCTGACACACATTTACCACACTGAAAAGGGGCTTTAATTCTTTTTTGTAAAGTCGATCTCTTTCACTGTCACCCCTTCGCTCCTCGTCTCTTATTCCTCCTTACGTTCACAGCCACAGTGACAACAGGCTGTAGAGACACAGTCACAGAGACCAGCGTCGATGTGGGAAACAGTGAGCAGCACTGGCTAATGTAAAAAAAAAAAAAAGCTTCTTAGTAAATAAAGAATGTAAATTTGAATGTGGAGCTCTTAAAAAGAAAAAAATATTTAAAACATGAAAAAACTTCTTAACTTTTAAAATAGATACATGAATGACTTTTATTTTTTTGCATTTTTGCCCTTTAGTTGTCTGTGAGCTATTCCTGGACTCATTTGGCTATTTATTTGTTTTTTATATACTGTATATCTGTATAATTTCTACTACATCATTATTCATTTCTCAAAATATTATTATTACACAATATTTATTTTTATTGCCAACCTTTAGTTTCCTGGCCAAATTTCTGTTTAACTTTCATAATTTTTGGACATTTTCGGTGAATATTTAGGCATTTGTACTCTAAGATACTGTATCGCTACTCCCTAGATACATATATAATATAACTTATTTAAAGATGTCATTATTAAAAAATCAACAAACGTCACCGGCTGCACAGACCTGACGGAGCACATGACTTATCTATATATGCTTGTTACAGCTGATTTTCACCCCTCCCCCACATCAGTATTAGTTGTGAGTTATTTGTTCCTGCTGGATCAGTCAGATATGTGACCTGGCCCACTCACATGCACACATCAGCAGGACAGACCTCCCTCCAAACACGAGGTCGAGGTAACACATATAGGACAAGACAGGACCAAGGTTCTTGCTCTGTGACTTTTTTTAATAATTCTTTTTATTGAATTTAAATAGGTGATATACATAAACAGAAGCAGCTGTTTGACTTCAACAGATCTTTGATATATGGAAAGGTTATTCCACCTTATGTATGACAACAACAGGAACGCTGCCTTTTGGAAATTCCTATGATTTGCTGTTTTGCTGCACTTATCTGTGAACCACAACATGGCTGCACTTTCCATGCTGCTCCATTTGCATAACATGGGCTTTCTAAGGGACAGGAGAGGTCATCTGGCGGCAGAACCTTATCAGACATCGAACAACGCTGGTAGGTCATTCAAGAAAGCACTGTAGAAGAAAGATTACACAAAAAGGACAGGAGTGTTAATTTTCTTTGGTGTTTTGGACAGGCTTTTCAAATGCATTTGGACCTGATGTCAGTGCCTTAAAAAGATAGCAGCAGCAGCTGAGAGTGACACTGCATGTAACGTTGGATTGTTCCTCATGTTGGCCTTGCATTGTAGTTCTTTCTATTTTTTTACGCATATGTTAAGCCTTACAGTGGTTTTTACACAATTAGAAAACAAAACTGCCCTCTCTTTTCAACCCCTTTTCCTTTGATTTTATACTTGGAGAGCAAACAATGAACCCTAATTTCTCCCTTGGAGTTAACTGTGAATGAGCTCTTTGTTTCCTCGCCTCAGTAAGAGGAATCTGGGCCCCCTGGGAATGGATTTACTGTAACTTCTCTTAAAGCTTAAATACAATTCAAATGAATTAATTATAGACTTTGCATGACAAATAGAGGCAGCTCTCAAAATAAGCCCCCGAAGAAGGACACAGTTGGTTTTGGAAGTGACTCAATGTTATTAGAAATGTCTAAAGGAAAGTGAGGCTTCAGATGATTTCTAATGTCAGTAAATATGTTGTGGTTTAAATCAGCAGTTACATATTTTTATCATCTTTAACAGAAGATCAATTCTGTAGAATGAACTCATAGTTTGATTAAGGTGTGGTTGAAAGTGTGATGTGACAGAGAAGACTAATCCATGTACACGATTATAAAACAAAATAGCACTCAAATGACTAAATGACACGTCCCACTGGGCCTCGACTCTGTCATATCGGACAAGGTTAATATTTTTCTGAGAAAATCTATAATGCGTATCCGTGTTCAGATCAATGATATCAGTACCTTCTTCCTGTCATACAGTGACCTTCATTCTAAGAAAATCTGACCAGTGGTTTAGTTATACCGACCTAACTATAAGATGGAAAAGATACAACTGAAGATACGAATGAACCATCTGTGTGAGAATTCACCCGTGTCTGCAGAGACAGAAACAACCCCGGCGGTGATCATGATGAATAAACTCGTATAAATCTGTTTAAGAAGGTGATTATTTACATTACAATCCTCTGTGTGATGAAGTGTGTTTGCTCAATAGCAGGATCTGAGTGTAATTTAGTGAAGGGATTAGAACCAATCATCATTAAAGATCATTTCACCAGCAACTCCTCCAGGGACAAACTGTTTTTTGGCTTCAACTTTTTCTCTCAGTGAGTAGCTGCTGTAAATACTCACACAGCGAAAGAGGAGACCGCTAAATGCAAAGCAGCACTTGTTAGTAAATCTTGATTTGGGGAGGGGCTGGTGACATGTGGGGACATGGCAAAGAAAAGCCATTTGGTGAAGGCAAAAAACAGAGGCTGCCAGCTCACTGGGTGGCAGGGCGGTGGCCAGTCGGACCGTTGTCCACTGCATACGGTTGTATGGTTAGAAAGCTATGGTGACGACCGATGTGGACCTATGTTAGGTTTAGTGTATGCTACGTTTTGGCAGGACGGTCCACTGAAGCTTTTGGTTTACAATGGCAGTGTTGGATAACCACTGCTGGCAGTACGCCCAGGCTGGAAAAACCCTCATCAGACTCTCAGGTAGAGGCAAGATGCAAATGCTGTTTTCACTGGCTCTGTTTGCTTTTAACTGTAAGTTCAACCAAAAGGAAATATATGCAGGCATCCTAATATTTTTAGCATTTTAACAAATGATCATGATATGATATGATATGATTATGACTTTGCAGACTTTTTCTACATTTTTTTTTTTTGTTACATAAATATGATTAGACATTGGTACAAATGTTGCCTTAATGACAATGGACACTGGCGCTGCAGTCAATTGTCCCCTGTAGACTCAGTCCAAAAAAAGCTAAAAAGAGCTGAATGACTGCCCAAATGGAAAACAAATAGTACTTTAATGCCTGCACATCCTGGTTAAACAGTACATCACTCTGGAGAACACATGCATTCTGTCACAAAAGCATCCTTCTGTTAAAAAATCCCTGTCTCACTGCAGCTGCGTTACACTGTAGCTCTCAGACTGTGTTTTATCCTCCCAAGAGGATGGAATAACAGAAATACCTCTCTATAAAAAGCAGACAATACAAAAGATCTACAGTTTTCAGTGTCAAAAACTCAGATTTCTATCTCTTTTGAGGTTGTGTTGCTGATGTTTGAGACTTTTTAAAAATATAATTATGGCCTATTTAATGTACTTTTCCTCGGTGTAACGCTTCTCTTTTTCATGTGGTGGTCTAATGCATGACAGAATGATAGGCGATGTTTAAAAAGTAAAACTTTCTTAAAAACTCACCTGTGGCCCTCGTGTGCTAGTTGCCCCATTTCTGTACAGTATGTGGGTCATTCTCAGCTCACCTGCTGTTTCGCACGCAAGTAAAACCATTTTAGCTACAGTAAGACTAAAATAGAAAGACACATTTGGTGATACATTACAGTTAATAATTACTGACTATATACAACACAAAATGGACCAAAAAATACATGTTTAAATTCGAACAATGTGTGAGAATACACACAGGCGGCTCTATTAGAGCCAGATGCTTGAAACTAGGTCGGGCTGGACAGCCGACGAAGCTTTAAGCACAGGTGGGACCAGGATTTGCTCACACAGGAAAGAAAACTGTCAGCCAAGTGCATTCTATATATTGCCAAAAAAAAAAACCCTAAAAACTATTTCTCTTAAAAGAGAAAGAAAACAATTGTTCAGGCAGCTGAAGTTATTCTGCTAGCTTTATGGCAATTAAACGCTATTTTCAAACAGCAGATCCTGCATTTATAATTATTTCTGTAATATTTTTATGGTACCGAATTATATCTTGTAATTTAATCAAATATGGGACCAAAAAAGTGATTTACGTTTTTCTAAAAGAAAGAAGATTTTCAGTTTGTTCCTTGGTGTTGACCGATGGTTTTTAGTAGAAATTAGAGTGTGAGTGTTAATGGTTGTCGTTTCTACATGATGTTCACCCTAGTCAACATCATGACCAGTCCAGGGTGAACTTCCCACTCTCTCCTGATGAGTACTGAGACTGGCTACAGGTACAAGATAAACACGTTGTGTTATTTTCATGCCTCATAAGCCTCCTGCACTTGAGTTCTTAGAGAGAACCATGGGAGTTCCCCCAGCAGTCTAGTCCTTTAATACTAATACTAATACTGTCGCCTGAAGGTTTCGTTTTAAATAAGTATAGGATCCTAAGAGTAAATTGATGTAAAAAGACTGCCCAGTATAATATTATGGTGTAATATTATATATTGCTCAGATACACCAAAATGTGCAGTATAACACCTTTCCCTTTTCTTATTTCGTTTCCTTATTTCGTCAGATTATACAGTCACTCCCTGCAGTAAAAATGGCAGTGTTCCCTTTTTTTCATCTCCTCCCTTTTAGCCTCTCTAAGACTCTGTGCTCGGGTGGATAATAAATGCATATGACTGAGGATATGACTGCTCTGAGGCAGTTAGGAGAAATAGTGCTGTTCGTCACGAGTGGAGCACTGCAGAATGAGATCACGACAAGGCAGGCATGAGAGGGGATTTACAACGCCCCAGGTACTGTTGAAGTTAGAACAAGGACCCCACAGACCTGGGATGGAACCTGCAGTAGTGGGTCCAGCCTATTCTCTGTAGTGACCACCGCAGCGTCCATGCATGCTTTCATGTAGGATACAGTAAGTGTGTCTTTCTCCTCAACAGTAAAGGTCAATAAAACATTTTGATCAATTGGACATTTACCATCAGGCCTGTAAAAGACAAAACAAATTCATGTCAAAGCTTTTAGCATGTACCAATAAATTCTTCTCAGGGAAACGTAAAAACTGTCCTCACTGGTCCCATCAGACTCTGTTACAGACCGAGAGACTCCATAGGTACTGTATATGTGCTACATTTAAGAGGTGCAGTAAGTTGATAATGGCAGGTCGAGTGTTTCCTGTCTGTTACTGTCTGTGTCACTGACACTGGAAAACACCTGCTAACACTGCTGACTAATAAATGTATTTTTACTGCATCTTCTGCCCCAGTTAAAACTCTGGGGCATTCTGTCTTAGCTATTCCTCGCTAGCTTTAGGTATTTTGTTTTGTCTTTTCTACATATTTCTGAAGTATTTTTTCTCATATCTTTTTACTTCTGTAAAATGCTATTTTTGTCTGTTTTTTTCTGGGTATCATGGCCTAGCAACACTGTAATTTAATCAGATACTGCTCATCTTTAGACTCTTTTTTCTTTCTTTCTGTGAATTCCTAACTGTGTCTCAGTAGCATTTTGCTGTTTTGTTAAAACACCGTTTTTTCTGGTTTATTTACTTATGTTGCTTTTAGTAGTAGCAAATAGAAAGCACATTCAGCCTTTAGTCATACTTTCTTAATAGCATTTAGCATATTTGGTCATGGTTGCCAATTTTGGCATTGCCCGGTTTTTGTGACTAATTTCTTGCTAAAAAAAGAATTTTAAAGTGCATTTTGTCGACTTCTTTTTACTTGTAGCCAGATTGTGGATACAACGTTTAAAGAATATCAGCATAAAGTGCTGGCAGGTCACACAGAGGTTTGCCAATTGTGATGCTGGGTATTTTCAGCCTCACTCAGTGGAGTTAACAAGAGGAAAATAGAATGAAGAAATACAAATGCACTGTGTTGGGAAATGGAAAGAAAAGAGAAAAAAAACGCAGGTTTGTGAGTTATTCACAAGAGCTGAGGTTGTTATACAGGCTCAGTGAGGTGTGAAAAGAACAGAAAAACAGCTGTAGAACCATAATAAGAATCCACACACACTCAGGCGCGCACACACACGTCTTCCATCCTGTCAAAGTTGATTATACCCTTAACCACATTACAAATGAAACAACTACCACATACAGATACTCACACATGTCGTTTTGTTCACCCAGCGTGTTATTATCTTCTGGCATTCTTCCGGATGCTCTGTATTTGAATGGTGTAACTCATCCTAATTAAATCATTCTCACTGCTTTTTGCTTTGTGCACGTATCAGCTCCACTGGAGATGAAGTCACAGTTTGTCTGTGTGTGTTTTCTATGGCACTGCAGTTCTGCACAGATAAAAGTACAGTAGTTAATTATACAGCGCTGAATCCCCTCCTGCCCCTCGGTGCTCTTACACACAGCTCGGTGAAATGGCCCCAACATGCACACTTGCATTAGACAGCTGACCGTTGTTTGTCTTCGTCCTGCCCCATAGCAGTGAGAATGGTGTGGACATAATTCACAGAGCTTTCTGTTCTGTGGTCTGCTGTGTATGCTGAGCTGGTTGTTTCAGACACTACTTCTTAATCTGTGGGATATATGAAGGCCGGGAAGTGTTGGCTTTGCTCTTTCAAATCTGAGGTTTCATTATGTTTTGGCACCGTGTGATTATTTTCTAGTGGACAATTATGATGAATAAGTCTATATTACCCTTGATTTATGACCAGTGTTTTTATGGTCAAATTCACTCAGCTTGGATTTAATAAATCTTGATTTACATTTTTAAATATACATTTTATAGTGGGCGTTACAGTAAACATGGTACACTGTTTGGACAGAAGCCATATATGTAGGTCAGAAACAGGAGGTATAACAAAATTACTGTTTTGTCTGCAGTATGTTATCTAATGCTCTTATTCATTAAAAATAGCCAATTTTTCTAACTGAATATTCTTTCTAAAATGATTCCCATAACTAGTTATGATACAACTGTAGGGCTGAGGGCTTTTATTGGTCTATTCATGGTGCAAGATTCTAGATCTCGTAGTAATCAATGTTCTTGGGAAAACAAGCTTTTCAACATGTCCTAAATAAATCACAATGTAATGCTGCGTCACCTTCTTCATGTATATTATCAGTGGTATGTTTTGCTATGATGAAGTATATCTAAGGATATAACCTTGTCCTGTGGTAGCTTTGGCCATGTCTTTATGAAACCACATTATTATTACATATTATGATGTGAATGAGTCATGCTACTTTTAAGGTCGAAGAAAATTCTGTGAGAAACACATAAAGGTTAGTCTACGGTGGTGGGAAAGCACAGTTTTTAATGTGACACCGCCACACTGCAATTCACACAGACACACACACACACACAAACACACACATCAGGCCAGAGTCAGACCTGGGGAGATCGGTTTTATTTCCGACCTTTTCCACTTGTTATGACTCATTCATAGGCCTTTTTTGCTGTGCTTTGGGGTTATAATCAGGTCGACGGGTTGTGGTAGGAGCAGAGTGTTATTTTTACTGTAAGCCGCACTGTAACAACAATATAAGAAACCTGATGAAAGTCGAGCTCGCCACAGTCCCCAGGCCTGCTGCCAACTCCAGCTGAAGGTCACACAGCAGAGGAGAGGCTGCTTGAAGTGGCTCCCTGTCTGAAGGGGGGATTCTCCCACTGTCTGCGTCTGTTTGTGTGTAAGATTGTAAGTCTGGGGAATAACTAAAAGGAATATACGGTGGTGAAAGAGGAGGAGAGGAGGGAGAAGACAAAACACAGCAGCAGTAGTGGTTGTTTATGTCATCAGCTTTTCTAGGAAAGGTTGTCACACAAGGGACACGGCGAGTCCCGTCACCTGCCCATGACGACCCGTTGTATAGACCTACTTTAATGCTGACTTTGACAACAACAATAAATGGACTGATAGGTACAGAGTGACAGTTTAATTTATGGTAAAACAATGATAATCTTCATTTTACATCTGTTTTGTTTTTTATTTAACTATTTTTATGCACATAATGAGCAAAGACACACATTAAACACATACATACAAACCTGCTTTGGTTTATTAATTCCCTGTTTCATTGAATTACCAAATGTCCTGGATTGTATTTGGGATGTGTTTCAGATTGAACATTTATATCATTTGACAGCCCTGTAAAAATACATTTCCTTCTACAACTGTGGTCAGTGTGATCAGCATCAAGTACTGCAGTCAGTGAAACAGTACTGCTTCATTTCTGCAGTATTATATGTCAGCCATGCTCTGTGCTGCTGTGTGTGTACAACACATACAGGCCAGCTTGTAATTGCCCTAAGTCTGAGGTTACAAGGTTATGAAGCAGAGAATTGGCTTCATGCAGAGTTTGAGGCTGTGCAGATGTACCGTGTACAGTCTAGCCTGTGGTCTGAATAATTAGAAACAAAGGGACTGGCACTGGGCACTCCAGTTGGCTATCCACTCCAACTGCAGTGGAAAGATGTTGTTGTGCATTATTTGTGTTCATTTTGGGGTTACGATCTGGGGTTAACGAGCTGCGGAGATCGCTGCACAATTTTGGTCAGAGTTTAATAAACTTTTCCCCTATTCTATTTTAGACACAGCACATTTCTAATTACAGCTCATTAAGACAATAAAACAGTGTTGTAGCCTGTGGCATAAAGACATGGTACAAAACCCAACACAATTAACCCGTCACCTATTAAAATAATCAATTATCATGACAATTATCAATTAGTCTATAAAAACTGGAAAAAGTAGTTCATTGTTTCCAAAACTGCAAAATAACAGCATCTACAAAAAGTAAAGTAATATTTCTAATCTATTCTTTTTTCCTAATTTATCCAATCAGAAATGTCTTGTAAAACTGTAAAAACTACAATTTTTATATAGACTTATTGAGTTAAAATAATAGGTGAAGGTCTGAGCAGCCTCCTCTTGCTCTGTCTCTGTTTTCCTAATAAAAGGGGTCAGGACAGCAGGAGGTGACCATGGTAGACTCACTGCTATGAAAGTTAAGTTATTTCGCAGTGGTAGTGAAATCAAGAAAAAGCACTGACTGTGAAATTATTTAAAACCAAGCAGGGAACAGTTCACCTCCATGTATAGACGTAGGCTGGAAACAAACTGCATGTGTCAAGACACGTTGCTGTTTTCCACTGTTTGTAATGCATGACTGATTTTTTTTTTTTTTTTTACATTTTTTTCTCCCACGCTGACTTGCTCCTGAAGTTGTTTTTTGTGTTCAAGAAAAACATAAATATAAAATATGTTTCTATCACATTGTTATTTGGGTTAATTCCACATTCAAAACCAAAATGATTTACCCGTATTTATGAACACTATAAAAGACTTGTCTGTGCACTCACAGTTTGCATAACTCCTTGTTGCAGTTTTTCCCAACCACTGTTCCATGACACACTAGTAGTGCGAGATCATCAGGTGTGCCATTGAAACTTATACAATTACACTTATTTGGTCTGAAGAGTACAATTTATTTTCTGAATTCTTTGTCTTCGTTATCAAAGTGATTGTGACAGGTAGAACAATTAAATACTCCTCCATGTGTGTCTTTCTTCAATTCCTGTGAGATTATCAGGGCTGTGTTCAACTAAACAGGCCAGGGTTTAATACTGAGTGAGTTGTGAGTGTAGTGAAAGAAGAAAGTCATTGTGTTTTCATTCCATACTTTCTTTTGGACATTTTTATTTGGTTATGCTTCATGGGACTTTTCTAATGTAAAATATTTGTCATGGTTCAAAAAGGTGGGAAAACACTGCCTTTGTGGACCGACTGTAACCTTGAATGAATTTAACACAATGAATTGTGCATGTGTTTGTGGTTTTTACAATATTGTTTCCATACTGCCTTGTTTTTTCCTCCTTCTTTCCCTCTTCCTCATTTTGTGCTGCTATTGTGAACAGTAAACCACCCATGAGCTCTTCACAGAGATCCAAAGAAACAGCACAAAAAGGACAAGTGACAATGTAAGGCACAAGAGTGTGACACTGGACCAGCAATGGCCATGGATCTTAGGAGAAAAATGGAACACAGCCACCATTCATAGGATTATGTAAGCTGTCAGGATGGCCGCTGTACAAAGGCTCCATTGGACAACTAATGTCCATGACTGTGCACGTGCAGATACATAAAGAATGAATACAAACCACGTTTTTTTGAGTGAAAGAGATGCGGAAAAATGTTTGCTCTTTATGCGTTTCATGAAAAAGAACACTACATTCAGTGGTACAAATCACCAGCCACCTGGTCACAAAGCAGATTACTGCCGTGATTGATGGTTACAGCTCTAACACATCAAGGTGCCGGAGCAGAGCAAGAACCGCCCTGAGCACAAGAATACTCCTTGAGAAGCCCCATTATTGTCTCTTTGATGGATGAACACACGGCATGTGCAGATGATTTCGTCATCTTGCAGTCATCACCTTGTAGATATGCAAGGACAGATTGTGCGCTGGAAAAGCTATTTTCTTAAATATGTTTCTGCTCCACTCTCCATATTTAACGCATAAAAACCTACAGTAAAATCCTTATTTTTCACAAAATATGCTTTGATTTAGAGAGCACTCAGAGCAGACGGCTGGCAAAATGGATTCTTCTCAGTATGGATGTTGTAAACAGCCAGGTTTGTAAAAGCGGGAGTCTGTTGTTGTTCGAGTCACATAGTAAAAAAAAAAGTAATGATAGTGTGCAGGGTAATAGTCTCCCTAGCATAATGTATGAACGGTGGGTAATTGCTGCATATAAACATGGCCAAAACGCTGGTTGGTTTTACATGACTGTTGTGTTAGCATCTGCCATAAGTGAGCAATTTTACCTTGGAAGCAGCTTACACCACACCAGCTGTGGTTTACACCTTACTGCTGTCTAATTTATTTTACGCTCATAAAAACTTTACATTGAACAATTTTCTAGTCTTTTTTGTAAACTTGCAGCATGAGAAAATGCAGCAGTTACTATGGTGGTAGTTTCCTGACGTTACAGTAGGCAGTCAGGCTGCAGCACTGCTACAGAGGTCAGTGTTGGACCTGCTCCAACTCCACAATCTTAACAGCACCGAACTGATGCAGTAATGAGTCTGGACACACTTAACAAGAAACACACGTGTGCCAGAGCACCGACTGGGATATGGTGTCATACGCTGGAAACAAAATTTTCAGCTTTACAATTTAATCTGAGGTTAAACATTTTATTCACCCTCAAATCAGTGTTAAATTCCATGCACGTAAAACAAAAAATCAATAAGAAGACATTAAAACCCCGAAGAAGTAACAAATTGAAAACATTTTTAATCCTTTCTGCTGAGCATTACATCACTGTTCTGTCCTTTCTAATGTCATGATCAATCTTCCCTCCCTGTTCCCTGAGAGACAGATATGGAGGGACTGTGTGAGGAATGGCTGCAGCAGGTTATAATGAGAGAGTCTGCAGCAGAAAGTGAGATCATAAAAACTGTGAACGTTAATTGCGAGGGAATGCTCCTCTCCCTCTCCCCCCCTCTCATTCTCACACTCTCCTCTTTGGCTTTAGGGAGAGAATGAAACCATTACTGCTACCTCAGTCCCATCTTGTCTCAGCTGCATGTGACATTATCCAGTAGAGTTCCCACCACAAGTTAACGTGCTGTCATCCAGGCCTAACTGCAGCTCCTACATCTCTGACTGTGGGTGAAATCAATATTACAGGAACCATTAAAATCTGTTGCAGTTAATAAGCAGCTCCTCTAGTCTCTCTGTGTTCCCTGTGTTCTCTCTGTGTGTTAATGGTTATGAATTGACCACGGCTGATTTCTCTGTCTCCCCTTTTGTTTCAGGGTTTCATCGCAATGAGGACATGAAGGCCATCGATGTGCTTCCTATTCTCAAGGAAAAGATCGCCTTCCTCTCAGGTCAGATATTATCACGCCTTTTTCCACAGTGTACATGCACGTGTACACATAATGAAGTTAGATCCCAGTCACATACTGGGTCTGTTTTCCATTAGTCTTCAGACCATTCACACAAGAAAAAGAACAAAAGGAGAATCAGGCAGAAGGAGGGCAGGATTCCTGCTCTTCTGTTGATTCAAGTGACTTTAAGCTACCTTTACATACTCTATGTAAATACTGCAGTGCTTTTCACACATCTCTACCCACATAGTACCGTGCGTACCTTATGATGGCATGGTTATTAAGCGGTAACATCAGAGATATGCTCATAGTTGACAAAACAAACACACTTTGTCTCTGTCTCTATTTTCTTTAATATTTTTTGTTGCACAAAAACTGTACTGTGCAATGCTGCCCCCACATTTTCTGTTGTTACTGCTTCTATTTTCTAAATAAGGTTAGGTATCCGCAAGCTATCTGAAAAGGTACTAAATTATACAATTACACTGAGACAAATGATTGAAATGTGTACTGCATAAATGAGCCACTATAAGAAGTTTCTGTGTACTCTGTATAATTTTTGCCCAATAAAATTGTGTCCCCCAGGAGGGCAGAACTTTACTGTAAAAGAAGACATCTTAATAGACAAGATTAGGCACACAGATCTTTGTGACATCGTCCACTCCTGAGGATAAAACAGCTGTTTTTGAACATACTTGCTGTTTCTCAGCTTCTTGTTTTGAGATTTATGTCCATTCACTTATGTCAAGGTCATGACCTGACCTTTACCTTTCAGTTTCGTCATTACTACAGAGGTCTTGCCGTGGTTGTAATTGAGTCTAAGAGAGTGTTTTCTCTGCTCATTAACAGTCCCTGTGATTTGCTGGTGCAGTCTGACTCAAAGGCTATTACCAGCCTTGTCATCATGAGCGTCATTTGACCCCTGTTGACCTCTTTGACTCAGTTTAGTCATGAATAACTGCAGCCATAATGAGCTGTACTCTCCCAGCTCTGCAGCAGTCATGTTCAGTTTCTGGTCATATCGTTTTAAAATGTGCATTTTCTTTAAAAACCTCAAATCATCATTTTATAGACTTTAATTATTTATTTCTCTTTCTTTAAGGTGGAAGAGACAGACGTGGAGGCCCTGTTCTCACTTTTCCCGCAAGAAGCAACCATGATAGAATACGACCTGAAGACCTGCGGAGGCTGATAGCCTACCTGGCTACAATACCTAGGTAAGACATAACTCATAGATGTAGATATAGAATATTCCTTGAATATTTTACCTTGGCTACAAAGGAATACTTTATTTATTTATTTATTTAATCCATATTCTTACATTTAGGAAAGTCTAAAAACCTTCTCCCATCCACATATTTATTTCCTCTTACCTATTGAAAATATATAAAATGAATTGATTCACTACCTATCAATGTTTAGTACTAGTGTGACATGATTAAATAAAATTATATTGTCAAGTAGAGGATTTTTTTCATTTGTAGTATGAATAAATCCATAAACAAACTACTCAAAATGCTGCTCTTGTCACCATTTTGAAACTCTAAAACAGCCTCTCTGATGTCATTGTTGTTTTTGGATTATATTGTTGGTTAAAGTGCTTTAACACTTTATATAAAAACCATGGTTCAACTGCACTGATGACCAAAGACAGTGGTCATCATTTTGATATCAACCTATGGATCCAGGCATTCAGACTGCATTGATATCACTCTCTGCAAGAAAGACTGAGAAAATGTAGCTGTAGTTCCAGAAACCTCCGCTCTTTATGAACTGTGTTATGAGTTAAGAGAGCGACCAGAGGTGAACAGACGTCCAGACAGAGTGGGAACAGAGTGTCAGCCTCCTCAGAGGGAGGTCAGCCTTTACTCTTTGTCTTGTCCAAATATTTCTCTTTCTGTGTCTCTCCCTCTCTCCCTGTTTTTCTCTCTCGCTCCCTCTCTTTTTCTCTCTCACTCCCTCTCTCTGCTCTGTTTTTGCTGTACCCATTTGGCTGCTGCTGTGTTTTCAGAAAGTGAGGTCAGAGTGAGTTAGAGCAGCAGGATATGCGTCTGTTTCTGTGTCCTAGCTAGACACATAGAGATTAAAGGCTTTGACACTGAGCAACGACCTTTTATGGACTTGTACCGCAGCAGGACTCCTGGTAAGCAGTTGTGGATGTTTTAGTATTTAATTGTTTCATTTTTTGATTATGAGTGCAACATTTTTTATCCTCCTTTGGGAACATGGTACCGTTTCGTGTCGCACATTCAGTCTGCTGTCGTTCAAGTAAATGTTTCCTGTCGGCAGCCCAATATTAATATCTGCCATATCGTGTCTGTTGGCGTCTCATCCAACCTGACCTCCTTATTTTGTCTTTGCAGTGAGGAGGTGGTCAGACATGGCTTCACAGTCATCGTGGACATGCGCGGCTCCAAGTGGGACAGCATCAAGCCCTTACTGAAGATCCTCCAGGAGTCTTTCCCTTCCTGCATCCACGTAGCCCTCATTATCAAGCCAGACAACTTCTGGCAGAAGCAGAGGACCAACTTCGGCAGCTCCAAGTTTGAATTTGAGGTGCGTGGTTTCTTTATCCGTGGCGTATTTCTCATGTGGACATTGATGCAGTGATGTGTTTTCATGTTTGTGCTCATTTTGGTCATGTGTTTTGAAAATGAGAATTTTGTTAACTGTGTTTTGTATAACACGACGACTGGTCAAGGTTTATCTAAAGGATTGGACTGCTGCTCGATGACAGCGCCACTGCTCTGTCCCGTGTGGGCCTGTGGTTCTGTTATATTTAGTCCTGACCCAGTTACTATGGAAACAGGATATATAGGACATGGTGAAGCATTTAATCTCAAGTTTGGACAAGCCACTTTTTGTTTTTATTGTAAGTTTACTGTTGTAAAAATCCTGGGTCCTCAGCTTACAACATCGTTAATTACTTTGGCCAAGTCCAGTGTATTTTGTACTTGTGCTTTTAGCCATAGCCTGCTGACAGATGGCTTCGTCCAAAAGCCACCTGGGAAAGCTTACTGCTAACACATCGGACAAGGACAGGTGTTTTTTAAAAAGTACTTGGCAAGTGATTGTGGCTGAACCATCTGCCAGACACTGTCCGTTGCATTAGTCAGAGCCAGTCAAGATAAGAGCAGTGATATCTTTTAATCTTGTGAAGCCTTCAAGTTAAGTATTTACAATATATATTGCTGCACAGTGAGTGTGTGAATATATGTCTCTACCTTTACAGTTTGTTGCCTTGTGACAGAATTAAAACTAGTCCAGGATGTAACCTACATTTCTCCCAATGTCACCTTGATTATAACTCATCGTATGGTATGACTCGTAGCAGAGTCTTTGTACGATACACCATTGACCACATCTATAGCTACACCACGCTTTTTCAAGGCTGGATAGGTGTTTTGTTTTTATCGCATGAATTTGAAAAGAAACCAAAAACCTCATTCACAGATTTTGGTCCACATTGACATCACAGCATCGCACAGCAGCTGCAGATTTGTTTGGTGACGATCTCTGTAAACCTTTGCTATAACCGTATTTCAGAGGTGCCGTGCTGACAGATCTGCCCCTGTCTAGAGTGGCACCTGGTTTGGTCCCTCTGGAGCTTATCTGCTTTAAAGTGTGATTTGTAGTGTGTTCAGAGAATGCTCTGTTACCTGTTTTGAGACCACTGATCTGATCTGAGTTTAGAGAACATTGCCCTTCTATCAGCTTAAGGCTGTCAACAAGGAGTTTTAACTCAGAACTACCGCTCTGGATCCCCCCCCCCCCCCCCCCTCCTTTTGGACCATTCCTCGAAGCCTAGAAGAGATGGTTTTGCATTTAGGTCAGCAACTGGTATAATACTCAGAATAGTCTGTGTAGCATCGACAATAATGTCATGGTCTGACTTACTAAATCTTTTTTCCTCATTCTGATCGGTGCAGTGCTTTGAGCGCAGCCATTTGATTAGGTAAATGTAAGTAAATTTGTACGAACAACAGTTGGACAGGTACCTAAAGATGGTCTGCAAGTCTTATTATGTACAGTACTATGTACTACTTATACTAATGATCTCGATCATCAACATGATAAAATGTGGCTTCTTTCTACTGGTCCTTAAGACACCTGGGACCTCCTGTAGTTAATCTGTCATAGGACAGGGATTGTTCTGTAGTTCATGCAGCAGAGAAAAGCTGGAAACCTGCAAAGATGGATTCTTACTAGAAATTCAGCTGCCTCATAGGTTTTTTTTTCCTGTGCTCTTGTGGAGCTCAGCATTTTCTATTTTTTTTTACAGGAATTTATATCTTTGTATTTCCAAGTTATTAGTAAAAACACACTGTAAATGCTGCATGAAATGTCTGGAATGTTTGTTTTGGTTCAACCAACCCTCTAGCAGTTGAAATGTGCGGCCTCTGGATATGCACACTGTTTTCATAGGGTTAATGGCAGGAAACTGTTTGGCACGCTAAAGTTTAATTAGTGAGAATATAGTGATAATGACTCTCTCTCTCTCTCTCTCCCTCTCTCTCTCTCTCTCTCATCTCTCCATCCCTCTTTCTTTTTCCTATTTTTTTATTTACCTGCCTTTGCCCCTGTTTTCTTTCCACTCTTTCTTTCTCTTTGGAATGATAATTGTATGTTGTTTTTGTTATTGTTTCCTTTGGCCTGCACACATCTGTCCAACCAGACGGTGATGGTCTCCCTGGAGGGTTTATCTAAGATTGTGGACCCGTCACAGCTGACAGCTGACTTTGAGGGCAGCTTAGAGTACAACCATGATGACTGGATTGAGGTGTGCTTACCTTCCCGGTCTTTGACCTAAATAATGGCTAGTTAAACATTGGACCATCCTTTGACACGTGACATCTTCCGTTCTAGGTGCGACTCTCATTCGAGACCTTCGCCAGCGATGCCACACGAGCTCTGTCTCGCCTCGAAGAGCTCCAAGAAACTTTGTCTCAGCGTGATCTCCCTCGGGACCTAGAGGGTGCTCGACGGCTCATGGAAGAACATGCTGCGCTAAAGAAAAGGGCCACAAAGGCTTCCGTAGAGGAGCTGGACACACAAGGACGACGGCTGCTACAGAGGCTACAGTCACAAACTGCAGGGGGAGGGGGGACTTGTGAAAGTGGGTATGGTAACAGGGCTGGAGGAGCTAGTGGAGACCTCAATGACCACCATCATGGGTACCACACGCACGCAGATGCACACAACCTGGTGGCTAAGGTGACAGGTTTGCTAGATAAGCTGCATGGGACGCGGCAGAATTTGCAGCAGCTCTGGCACATGAGGAAACTGAAGTTGGACCAGTGTTTCCAGCTGCGACTCTTTGAACAGGATGCTGAGAAGGTCAGAAACGTATTCTTCCTTTCCGTATAACACTTTTGTGTTTTAATGCTTCAGTGCTGTTTTTACTCCTCAAGAAATACAAACATATTTAAAGTCATAGGAGGTAATTAGAATACCCACAGTACCTCACTAGGACATATAAGTCCTCAGGTTAAGTGTTGTACTTTTGCAGTCTGGAATAACATGTTCACAGTAAAGTACATCATCCTAGCCATTTTTATTCCGTAAATCTTTGTCTTTCTGTGCTCAGATGTTTGACTGGATCATGCACAACAAGGGGCTTTTCCTTACCAGTTACACTGAGATCGGAGGAAACCATCAGCATGCTGTTGAACTACAGACACAGCACAACCACTTTGCAATGAACTGCATGGTAAGATACTGTCCATACACTGACCAAATACAAGATGTCTGTGTAGGTTCTCAGTCATCTTATTACTAACTATTTTTGGATGTAATTGAGGAAATTCATTCAGGGCTTTCTGTGTTTTTGAGGATTTTATATTGACATCATGTGTTCTTCAGCCCTTTACCCCAACTGTAACTATAACAAATACACATCACCGGCCTAATCTTCATTCTTACCATAACTATAATCTGACTATAGCTCTAATCCTAATTCCAAACCAAATCTTGAATCCCAATATACACCCACCCTCAGTTGGGACCTTAAAATGTCCCCACAAGAACAAATTATCAACCCCTCTTTCTCTCTCTCTCTCATACACTCACACACACTCTTTGACTCACTGCAGACTCCCACACTACTTATTTGCCCCATTCTGTCTTGTCGCAATGTTGCTCCAAATATTGACCTATATTGTCTCCACACCCCTCCCAAAGCTGTTTGCTGCCCTCTGCTGCTGTGCTCTGCCCCTTCCTGGCCTCTGCCACCTCACTGTATCTTTTTTACTTTAAATTAATATGTGTATCAGAGTTTGGCTAGCTTTTCATTTCCAGTAACGTTTGTTAATGTAGTTCAATTGTAGCCTCGGGACAGCATGGCTCATTACTTACAATACAGTGTAGTACATCCTCTCACTCTAACTTCCATTTCCACTAAAACTGAACCTTTTGTGCCTGGAAATATCTTCTCTTGTCTTTGGTGTTTCTGTCAGTATCAGCATTTTGTTTTGTTTTTGCATTAGAATTTCACTTTCCTTTTAACTGGTCTTGAAGCTTCAGCATTTTGTTTTGTTTTTGCATTAGAGTTTCACTTTTCCTTTTAACTGGTCTTGAAATTTTTCCAGAGTTGGGTGTAAACCTTGTACATGTTGGTGGAAAAGTCGGACCAGTCACTGATGTTGAGAACTATTCACAGTGGGCAGTTTAAACAGGAGGTCCCAGGGACAGAGACTCGGTGACCGCCTAAAGCCAGTTGTGTCAACACTGTGGGCTGAGATGGACCAGTAACCCCGAGACAACAGTAGTGGAGGGGACAGATGGCACTGCAGTATAAACACACACGTATATTCACAGTACACAGTTTTTTTTTCTCTCAGAAACACCACCGCCCCCTCCACCCATTCTTCCACAGGAAGCTGTGTTTCCTCTTCCTGTTGCCTGCTGCATTAGAAACACAAAGACAGAGGTGTTGTCGAGTACATTGTGTATGTGTGTTTTTGAAATGAGAGGGGTTTAGCAATAAATTAATGGTGTTTTATTGGTCAATTGTTTTATCATCACTCAGCTAATAGGTCTTCTTTAAGGTCAAATATAAATAAAAATACACTGACATTGAGACTTTCTATATTATAAATCTATCAAGTCAAAACTAATCTGGTCTAGTTTAGACATGTCTAGTCGAGTAATATTTCAATGAATTCAGATTTTATCACATGGGTAGAATGACACACTGTATATGAAATAATTCCACATTACATCTACTTTGCTCATTGCTCTAATACACAATAATCGATATGTGTTGTCATTTACACACACAAGGGGAAATAGTTGGAAGTTCGTCTCAACACTCAGGATAGATTTATGGTGAGACATCCGGCTTGTGTCTAATCCAATAGACTGCTAGGGACCTTAGACTGATTTGATATGGTTGAGGACAACAATTTAACCTAAGTTTTAGGTTTTTCTCCTAATTTCTTGGCTAACTTTTCTGATATTTATTCTTCATTTAGGGCTCACTTTAGACTGTTTGTGTGGTTTTTGGCAAACCCTGGAACATTTTATGGCTAACAATAATATTATTTATCATTTGTTTAAGAATGAATTGATTATAGTTAGGATTTATGGACATAAACGTGAAAAAGCGTACCTCTCATAGTCTCTCTCTGCTCTTTCAAAGCGTACCTCTCATAGTCTCTCTCTGTACTTCTCTGGTCTTTATATTACACTGCTTGATCTCTGCTGTGAATCCTTCAGCTATTTGACTCTGTAAATTTACTAACACCTTAAATCACAGCGGTGTCTCATTATCCTAAGCCGACATCGGAGGTAATCCCAAGCCTTTGGTGACACATTGAGAAAAGACTTCTCTGGATGTTGGACAGGGGGCACTGTGGAGGAGGCTCGTTTGACAAATCATCCTTTAAGCAGATGTAATGCTCTTTAGACACTGTGTGCAAATAACACCACACAGTGTTGGATGCGCCCCATATTTTGTGTTGGTAAAAATCCTGTTGACCCCGATCCTGCCGCTGTTTCAGGGCCGTGGTGGGTGTTTGGTTTGGTTTGGTTTCTTTGTGTTGTGATAGTACCACACCTACTGAGAGCCATTATAGGCTTCAGGAGCAGTAATTGAATAGAGAAACAACAGGCTGTTAACACAGTTGTTAATTACCATTTTCTGATTCATGCCTATCTCCACAAAACAGCTTGAGCTCATATATCAAAAAAGAGTGAGAGATTAACAGGCACGTTTCTTTTCACCATTCACACAAAGGTGTGTCTCCCAGCGAAATGGGATTTTAATGGCTTCTGTTTGGAGGTGTGTAGGTGGCGATGTAAAAATATCTGGGGGCAAAAGTTGTCGTGGCTGTTTTGTATTTTATTTTCTGTGCACATGTCATTTTTGGCAATGTTTTGTAGAGAAACAGCTTAATGGATAATTGGATCTAAAATTATAGCACAACAACCCGTTATCTGCCTGTACTGTATTTTTTTATTAAACAGAATGTCAACATATTTACAACTGATGACCACAAACTACAACATGTCAGATTGATTTGTAAAAACATTTGAAAACATCATTACATTTTTTAATTTTTTTAAAATTCCATTCTGTTGATCTATCCTGGTTCTCCTCACATGCAGAACGTGTACGTGAACATCAATCGGATCATGTCCGTGGGGAACCGGCTTCTGGAGTCAGGTCATTATGCCTCGCAGCAGATCCAGCAGATCTCAGGTCAGCTGGAGCAGGAGTGGAAAGCCTTCGCTGCTGCCCTAGATGAGCGCAGCACGCTGCTGGAGATGTCAGCCAGCTTCCACCAGAAAGCTGACCAGGTACAGACACAGGTGGTGCTAACTGACACGCAGGTAATGAGGAAGACTCATGATGATGTCATCTAAACTTTACTGGGAGACTGCCGCTTCACTTACATTTTCAAATTGACTTTAAAAAAATTGACAATGAGGTTATTCGTATAGATGAGTAATCAAATTTAAATGTTTTTTTGGCTAACTTCAAACTCTTGATGTGTCAGCTTTGAGTTATTTTAGTGGCGTACTCTCAAGTATTATTGCTTATACGAAGCTTTTACCCACGTCTGAGGTAATTTAAGTTCTCTTTTGACTTGTTTTATTTAACATCAAGCTTTTTTGGTCTTCTAAATGTTGAATCTTTTTTGTCTCAGTTTTAGATATTCATGGATGACGTTTAGCTTTTTTTTATGTAGTATTGCTGCATTTTGTCTCCCCAGTACATGAGTAAAGTGGAGCCATGGTGTAAAGCGTGTGGTGAAGGAGAGTTGCCCTCTGAACTCCAGGACCTGGAGGACACAATCCACCACCACCAGGGTTTATATGAGCACATTACCACTGCATATTCTGAGGTCAGTACACACACTGTACACAGTAACATAGACATCCACCTACGCACACTCTGCATATGAATATGAATATAAATGAGAAAATTGTTATGCCAAGTTAACTCAACGTCTTTGTCAGCTGTTGTTAAGGTAAAACATAAAAAAGGGAAAATAAACACAATGGAGGACACCGTAAAACCCTGTGCTTATTTTTACAAATTGTTCTTTTTTTTTAGGTAAGTCAGGACGGCAAGTCTCTCCTGGATAAACTACAGCGACCTCTGACCCCAGGAAGTGCAGATTCACTCATGTCCTCAGCAAACTACTCCAAGGCTGTCCACCATGTTCTGGACATCATCCATGAAGTACTGCATCACCAGAGGCAGCTGGAGAACATCTGGCAGCACCGCAAAGTTCGCCTGCACCAGCGTCTGCAGCTGTGTGTCTTTCAGGCGGGTGTTCAACAGGTGTGTACATGTGTAACATTAAATTCCAGTGTGGACCTGACATCGGAGTCTGTGTGTAACACAGGCTCTCATCTTCTGCTGTACCAATACCAACCTACAGGGGGCCACTGCCTATAACTCTGGTTATTTCAGACAAGCCTTGTTTTCGTTTGCCTCCAAAAACTGTATTTTTGTGTCACTTTCAGAAATCAACAACCTTACAAATAAATATAAATTACACATACCATGCATTTTATTTTTTCACAATGTTGTTTTCTTTTCACTTTTTTAAACTTTTTGGATTTAAACTCTTTATATGGTATTTAATTAGATGCTAGACTTCAAATAAGGCATATCTGCAGGGAATGTAAAAATCTTGAGCCAAATTATATATTTTTTTAAAGATTTAAAATAATGTTCTGCAGCATTAGAACTGTGTTTTTATTTCTTTTTGGACTCTGGGTTCTTACACTTCAGCAGAAATGCCAGAAACTGTCCTAAAAATGTAACAAAACGTTGGATTCTGCATTTTTTGGACAACTTAACCATGACCTGTTGTCCTCACCCTGTTCTTAACCCAAACACAAAGATTTATCACCTCCTCCTCAGTTGTCACAGTGTGACCGTGTGTGTGTGTGTGTGACTCTGAGTGACAGAGGTGTTAGATGTGTGTTTGTACCCTGCAGATATGAACTCCTCTCAACCTCTCTCTCTCTCCTCTCTCACCTGCTCTGATCTCCACCTCTGCTTCTTTCTCCCCTCTCTTCCATCCACCCTTGCGTCAGCCCTTTTCTCTTGGTAGTGGTTTCCATGGTGACACCGTTTACTGTCACATCAGGTGTCGAGGGCATTGTTCCCGCCTGTGTGCGTGTTAGTCCCATCAAAATATTCTCTGAGAGACCTTGAGAGCACCATGAAAACCTCCATTCATTAGTCCACACAGAAACAGATGGAGCATCTGTGTAATAGATAATAAGGTCATTTTGTGCAAAGATTTACAGCCGACACCAAACACGGCGGAAATGTTGACACTCTGGAGTTGCTGTTTAGCAAAACCTAATTGTCTTTATTGATTTAATTCAAATGTGACAGAGTGCCTGAAAAAAGACTAAAGAGTGTGATCAGAGCAGAGAAGTGAGCAGACAGACACAGGAGGGAGAGAGAGGTGACAACTCTGGTACCCTGTAATTGGGATCTGATTAATGCCTTTCGATTGCTCCCCCTACTGTAGGAATATGCGTACTGCATGTGCATATATTTAATGTTGTGTATATGTGTGTTTGTTCCCAGGTGCTGGACTGGATAGAGAACCATGGTGAGGCCTTCCTCAGTAAACATACAGGCGTTGGCAAATCTCTGCACAGAGCCAGGGCTCTGCAGAAGAGACACGAGGACTTTGAGGAGGTAGCACAGGTGAGTTTGCAAAGAAAGAAAAAAAAACTAATTACAAAAATTAATTGTAATAATTGCTATTTCCTGCCTTGAGCTAATCTGAGTAAGTATCCGTGTAACACTGACACAGTGTAACATTTGTTATGGTCATTCTTCTTCATCACTTGTTATGATGATTTTTTTAGAATACCTATACCAATGCAGACAAGCTGCTGGAGGCAGCGGAGCAGTTGGCCCAGACTGGAGAGTGTGACCCAGAGGAAATTTACCAGGCAGCCCACCAGCTGGAAGACCGCATCCAGGACTTTGTGCGGCGTGTGGAGCAACGCAAAGTCCTGCTGGACATGTCTGTGGTCTTTCACACACATGTCAAAGAGGTGGGTGTCGTAAGTCTGCCAGGTAGATGTGGTTTGATTAATCGCTAACACTACTGGTTAGTGTACAGTAGGTGGACATTTATGTAGTAACTGTGGTTTCTCCCCTGAATTGATTCATAGTCAGAAGAGTGAGATCATCCTCTACAATGGTCACCATTATATTCACTATTACTTTAATGGCATGGTACTTAAATCATAATGACATAATGAAATACTAGTTACAATACATAATTTGGAGTTAGGTTTTATTTAATTGCCCCTTTTGGGGTAATTTGCACTATGTGCGGAATTCTTGTAAAGTTTGTGTAGTTCAACAGTTTTCCTGAGTTTTGTGGTTACCCAGCATTCAGTATCAACCTTTCAATCAGGAAGAGGATTTTTGTAGTCATTTACCAATTCGAGCTTTTACAGTAGGGTGAATTTGTTTTTCTTTGATACATCCATTTGCCACCATCCAGATTTAGGCAAAATAAAGGACAATTCCTCGTTACACTAACCTTTCCTTTAAACATTGTGATGAACAGTACAATGTCAGATACAAATCTGACAAATTTTAAAATTATATTTAGTATTGAAAATGTCTTTACTATTTTTATCTTACAAAAAAATGCAACTTACCTGCTATTTAAAAATAGGTAAAAGCTAAAAAAAAAAAAATCAAATTAGCTACATGCTTGCACGTGTCCCACTTTTGTCTGATTTTCCCTTGTAGATGTCTCTCAAAATGAACCTCTCCACACTGACAGGACTCTGTTTTTTTACACCTGTTAACACTACAAACTCAGGATGTTATTAAAGAAGCAGCTCTTTAATGGCCATATGGACTCATCTCCTTCAGCCCATCTGTCAGCTCACACCTTGGCACAGGTCATTGTGTGTGTGGGTGTGTGTGTGTGTGTAATGTGTATGTCCAGTCCCTTGACCCAAATCTTTTCAAGTTGTATCAAAGCGTCTGGATGCAGTCTAGTAAGAACATGAATGAAGTGACAGAAGTTCCTCCACATTTAACACTTCTATTCCAGCTCACTGAACAGAACTGTGTATGTTACTAGGCTATTGATGATTAATACCTTGTGAGATTCGATTTTGAGTAAGAAGTGTAGGTGTAGCTGTGAAGATTGCCCCCTGCAGGCTGCTAACCATGTCAGAACTCGAGTGCCCTGAGCAAGTTCAACCAGATGGCTTCTCTGTCACTGTAGTGACACTTCACTAAACAACAACGACTTCCTGTATATTTCTCCTTATCTTCTGTTTGCTTGTGTGTCCATCATGCCATTGATGCTCACATTTACAGCTCTGAGCCGCTCTTGTTTAGCGTGTGTGTCACTGTCTCGTCTGTTGTATCCATCACCGTTAGCTGTGGACGTGGTTGGAGGAGCTTCAGAAAGAGCTGCTGGACGACGTATACGCCGAGTCTGTGGAGGCAGTGCAAGATCTGATCAAACGTTTTGGCCAGCAGCAGCAGACGACTCTGCAGGCTACTGTCAATGTCATTAAGGAAGGAGAGGACCTCATCCAGCAGCTCAGGTTTAACACACTCTCCTTTGGTTCCTCCTCTACAGCCTCATTCTTTTTTAAGGATTGCGTCAGCAAGGAAGGGATATACCCCGGACAGACCCCAGTCCCCCCCCCCCCCCCCACATTTATAGAGACAGACATTCACACTATTATTTCTACTTGTGGTTAACTTAAAGCAGGGAGTACAGACGAGGGTCCAGTTACATCATTATTGACATCTAGTTGTGGGCCAGAGGTGGTCGGTTCGTGGACCAGAAGTGGCCCATGGGAGTTTGAGAGTCCTGATTTAGATTGCCCAGTAAAATTGCTCTAATCCTGAATGTCTTTGAATGTGGGAGGAAACATGGAGGGAACCAGTGATGGTCTTGCTGTGAATACATTGATGAGAAAAATTTCAAGTATTTTAAAGGATTGTTAAGTTTTGCAAGATGTGATTTATGTAAAATATTTCCATGTTGACGGTGCTGAAGGCCAAGAACCAGCACAACAATCTAAACACTTTTTCTTAGTGACAGCAGGGGTCAGCAGTGGCAGCAGAAAACAAATTCAACAGAAAAAGACTCACTAAAAATCCACAACTGTTTTATTCCTTTCTAACCTTTGTTTGTTTAATTACTTTTGCAAAATAAAAATGTCATTAAAGCAGGAGTAGGTTATCAGTCAGTCTTTTGCAACATTGTTATATGAAAATCCAGGTTTTTTTTAGTGTGAAGATCTTTAAAAACCTATGCACTTAGTATTTAAGAGAGGAAAACTACAAAGAACTGTCTAAAAATATTTCACATTTAATACATTTTTATACTTTCACTGGAATGCCTTCTGCACTATATCTTCAAACTCCTCTCTCCGTGACTTTTTTTCACAGAGACTCAGCCATTTCCAGCAATAAGACACCACACAACAGCTCCATGGCCCACATCGAGAGTGTGCTGCAGCAGCTGGACGAGGCACAGGGCCAGATGGAGGAGCTGTTCCAGGAAAGGAAAATCAAACTCGAGCTTTTCCTCCAGCTCCGCATCTTTGAGAGAGACGCAATTGATGTGAGTAGGCGGCAGACTAAAAAATAGTCTTGGGTGAATGCGATGCATATTTAGTTCTTTCTTTAATCCTGCAGTGAAAAAGTTGGGCTGATGAAGAGAGAAATGATGGGTTTTTGAAAGTCAAGGCAGCAAGAGAAGTGTGTGAGTGGTTGAAATGTAGTATTAAAGATGTACTCTTGTGACATTTCTGTGTGTTCTACAAAGAGCTTTTCTAATGAAGCTCATGGCTGTTCTTTTACTGCAAGAGTTTAGAGTTTCAAAAAATGTCACAAGTTCTTTCACAGAAGGATCTGTCACGATGGAGAAACTAAAATTACTGTGAGCGTTAACTGATGGGTTGTTAAACCACAAAAATAATTTTGTAAATAATTTACATTATTTACTGATTTTTTCTAGTCAACAACTATAATCTTGCTGAAAATAAAACTGAAGTGTCATTTAATAGAGACAAATGTATCATATATTTTTCCTGAATAGTGAATAAAAAGTATCCTGTGAGAGGTTCGTTAGTTTTCAGGAACTTCCTTTTACTGTATTCCAGTGAACGCCCTGTTACAGTCTGGGGGATTGTGTTGTGCACTTGCTGGTGAATATTGCAACACAACTCAGTCTAGTCTGTCATTAGTTTTTTGTCAAGTCAAAGTAGTGAATCTTCTAATCCCTCATCTTGAAGTACACTGAGACTAATGCATACACACATCAAGACGGGATTACATGACACAGCGCTCAAGCATGAAGATAGGAGCAGGATTTGCAGCCCTCCCCACCTTACACACACACAGACACACACACACACACAAAGACACTACAACACGCCCTCCTGCCTGTACTGGGGGTGTGTACTTTAGGTAAAGTAAAAGTCAGTCATGGAATCGTCTTACAGTGATTTCTCCAGTTACGGACGGCACTGCACATTTTTATTAGACGTAACTCTATTTATGTGAAGTAAAATATGACAATTTGAACATTTTAGTCAAAGAGGAGACTCTCTGCTGCTGCAGTTGGTAGTGAAGGGAAATGGTTTTCCTGCACACAGAAGGAATTTTACTCAACTGTAAACGGAGAGAGCACTACAGCATTGACGAGCGAATGGTAAGGGATGGCTGTGTTGACAGAGTGACAAAAAGTCTGATGTTGTCAGGGAGGATATTTCTGTAGATGTTGTCAAACAGTTTTTGAGTGTCTTTAATCTATGGTTTTTATTGTTGCAAACTTTGCCACAGCACACCATAGGAGAACAGTGATACTCACTGTCTGTATCATAATGCATGTCCCACAATGCCTTACATAAAACTTTATTTTTTGTGCTTTTGTATGCTTACGTTACCACACTCATCAGTTATCTTTAAAAACATGCCCTTTAAAAGGGAGGATTTCAGTGAATTCCTGTTTTCAGTATTAGTCAGACTCCAGTAAATGATTAAAAACATTTTCCCAGTTTAAGTCAAGTCAGTATGTTATTATTTATTGTGACAGAGTTTGGTGAATTACAGAAAACTGTTAAAACTGTCTGATTTGTTGTTTAAACATTCCTCTTCTCCCAGTGTTGTGAAGTGACTCGGTGCTATATTGAAGTAATGTTCTCTTCAGTGACTGTACTTTTTCTTAAAGCATATTTTATTAGCAGTAAAATACATAATAAAAAACCCAGGTTATGATTTAGTCAGGCCTCTTCTTGACACACAATTTCATGCAATCTTCCTGTCTCTCCAGTCTAGCCCTTAGCCGTCAAATTTAATTTTAATACATTTGGCCTTTTTCCCTCATCTCCCGTTCTCTCTGCCTCTCAAAAGATCATCTCAGACCTGGAGTCATGGAACGAGGAGCTGTCGCAGCAGATGAGCGACTTTGACACTGAAGACCTGACGCTGGCCGAGCAGAGGCTACAACACCATGCAGACAAGGCGCTCACTATGAACAACCTCACCTTTGACGTCATCCACCAGGGGCAGGAGCTGCTGCAGTATGTCACAGAGGTGCAGGCCTCCGGTACGTCTGGGAACACGACATAACTCCTAATGTCTGAATTTCATCACTGAGAAATGATGCACCAACACTAGTCGCTTCTAGTCTAAAGAAGAGGTGGGCTGTTTTAATACAATACCTATCTATAGAGTCAACATTTATTTCAAATAATAATAAACAAATATATTCATATAAATACATAGACAGTAGCTTGTCAAGTGGTTAAAGCAGTGCTTCTCAAATAGTGGGGAAGGCTTACCATTGGTAAGCTACGGGGGGGGGGTTGGGGCGCTTCCAATGAAATATGGCATACATATGGACATCAGTGTACCACTGCTGTAATGCATGAATGATAACAATCTCCAGTCACTAGGTGGCAGCAACTCATACTCAGTAGTATTTTGATTCGCTGGGGTGTGGGTCAAGGGGTACAGGGGTTTGAAAACATTTCAAACCCCCAGAGAATAATTAAGAACCACTGGGTTAAAGGATTGAGTGCGATTGGTTGCCGGTTCAAACCCTCATACTTATACTCCTCTTTAGACTTACCCCAATGTGGATGTCTCTTGGTTGCAGGTGTGGAGCTGTTATGCGACAGAGATGTGGACATGGCCACTCGGGTTCAGGACCTGCTGGAGTTCCTCCACGAGAAGCAGCAGGAGTTGGACGTGGCGGCGGAGCAGCACCGGAGACACCTGGAGCAGTGTGTCCAGCTGAGACATCTGCAGGCTGAAGTCAAGCAGGTATGAAGAAGAAGAGAAAAGGCCAAGAGGGTGGAAATCCATTTTTTAGCAGGGCATAAATATTTCAGACCGCACAGGTGGAAGTCTTAAGCTGTTTTTTTATCCTTGTAAGACTCAGGTCAGACTGACATTTTATTTCCACATCGCACCACGACTGTTACAGCAGTGTGTGTTAAAGTGCTGAAAGGACTACGGTTTGTTCTGTCTGTACTAGAGCAGCAGTAATGGGTGACTCACACCGTGTCAAAACTCCTCGCCTTTTACTTTCCTCCTCTCTCATTCATTTTTTGTTTCATACCTGGATGTTTCTATCTCTAATTAAGTTCAACAGACTTCAGAGAACTGAACGATGAGCAGAATTATAAATACAACGGTGTAGTTTAGCATAGTAATACTTAATACTATTTGACAGATTCTCCACCTCAGGGCCTGTCATCATCTTCATGTTGTTGCTGAAAGACTTAACATTGGAGATAAATGATAGAAGATGTGAAATTTAAACTATAATTATCCTCAAATTGGCCAAAGCAAAACATTTACAGATGAAGCCCTGGCATTGCACTGCCTGAACAGATATGGCATTAATCAGAGTGAGATGCCAGTGTGATACCACAGTGTTATTTTTACTCATCCTCCCACAGAGAGGCAGTGTTACAGATGGAGCTCAGGCTTGAGTCTGTGCAGAGAAGAGTAGTTTGTGAATCTCTGTAGTTCAGCAATAATTTCTCCACCAAAATCCAGTTCATGAAGTTCCCCTGACCTACTGTTATACACAGGAGTGTTTTAGCATTAAGAAGAACTATCAGGGCTTTACGAGAAATCACAAAAATCTCATCTCAACGGTGAAATAATGATAAATAAAAATGTATTCTCAGTGAGTCACATGTGAAGTCACTTTTGCTGCTGTTGTCGGTGATTGTTCATATATCATTCATATTGAATTGCGTTATACACACAACACACAGACACAGACACACAGACATTTAACTGCTGACAGTCAGACCTGTCTCGCCTCAGGTCATTACAAGTGCAGTGGAAACATTAGATCTATTGACTGCTCAAACAAAACAGTCAGAGCACTGTTGCATCATCACTTTTACGGCCAGGCTTCCACTGCGCCTTTGCTCGTCACACAACAGATGTGTGAGCTGAGTCAGAGAAACAGAGACACAGGTGGCTTTAAGAGGCAGCACTTTAGCTACAACTCAATGGGATTTCTCAAAATAAAAAAGAGAAAGAAATGTATTCTTGATAATCGGGTTACGTGTGAAAAAAATAAGTAACTCCCAGACAATATCCAGTAACATGGTAGAGAAGTTATAGAACCTGATAAGATCATTGACCATTATTGCCCAGCGTGGAGAGGGTTAATCTTTCTGAGGTTAAAACTTTGTATGTACTGTATTTTAAAGCAGTGATTCATAAAGTGTGGCGCAAGAACCAATTATTATTATATTATAGCAGGGATCGCAGGAGGGCAAATTAATTCAATTTCTAATTGTTCTATTTTTCCTTATTTCTGTCACACTGAAATACTATACTGATTTTTAATTATTTAATTATTGTTATTCTTTTCATGAGAATATTGCCAACATAAATAGAACATATTAAGTTGTTAAGTGTATATATATATATATATATATATATATATGTATATATATATATATATATACGTATATATGTGTATATATATATATATATATATATATGTATATATATATATATATATGTATATATATATATATATATGTATATATATATATATACACTCTACTATATTGATATTTGCATTTGAAAGGAAACTGCAACATATATTGTCCATGTGTGTTTCTGTGTAGGTGCTGGGATGGATCCGAAATGGAGAGTCGATGCTCAACGCTGGCCTGATCACAGCCAGTTCACTGCAGGAAGCCGAGCAGTTGCAGAAGGAACATGAACAATTCCAACATGCAATAGAGGTTAAAAAAAAGAAATCTTCTTGTCATCATCATGTTTGTCCTGATACTTTTCCCTTTTCACCATTTCTTAACTTCTTCTGTTTTATTGTTCTCTGTCGGCCCCACAGTCCCTCCTCAGAAGTCAAAATTATAAATAACTAGTATCCTACCTTATTCCTCTTTCTGCTCACCCTTCTTTTATGTCATCTTTGCCATGGATTATGCACAGGCTGCTTCCTTTGAACTTCATCAGCCCCGGCTCATTTCTAATGCCAGCTGCTTCCTGACCTACTTCGGTGGAGCTCACATGGACATAAAAAGAGGATGTTGTGTTTAATGAATATTTCTCTTTTTTGGATTCTGAAACTTTGGCGTGCATGCCAAAACTGAAGCCCTTCAATGTTGAATAACAAGACACCATGTAGAATGTAGAGTTTTTGTTCTCTGCGGCTGCCCTGACCATAGAATAAGGAATATCCCAGGTTAATGCAGTCGGAGTTTGGAGAAACTCTTGGATTCCAGTTAAGACTTCTGTTCTTTTTCATCGAATCCGACAAGGATCAAAAGCACTTTTTCCAGAAAAGCCATTACTTTTATATTTCTTATTTCCTCTTAGACATGTTCACTAGAGGTCAATCTTTAAAGTCTCTCTAATAAAACCTTTGTCTTACCTTTAACTGCAAAGCAGCATCAACTGCAGCTGGAATCCTGTTTGAAATGTGTGGTTTTGTTTCATCCCAACCAGAAAACTCATCAGAGTGCACTACAGGTCCAGCAGAAGGCTGAGGCGTTGCTCCAGGCCAACCACTATGATATGGATATGATCAGAGACTGTGCAGAAAAGGTACAGGACACATCACTTGATGATAGAACAAACAAAAAAACATAACCCCAGCTTTTAAGAGCGATTAAAAAATGTTATACATTTGATGTTTGAAGGTGGCAGATCACTGGCAGCAGCTAATGCTAAAGATGGAGGATCGGCTCAAGCTGGTCAATGCTTCTGTGGCCTTTTACAAAACGTCTGAACAGGTTTGTGTGCAGGAAAATGTAAAATAAATCAGTTTCAAGATTCTTTATGTTAAAGATAACCCTTTAAAATTAGAAGGTTTTATAGAGAGTTTCAGTTTTGTGTTCTGTTCATCTCAGGTGTGCAGTGTCCTGGAAAGTCTGGAGCAGGAGTACAAGAGAGAAGAAGACTGGTGTGGTGGTGCTGACAAACTGGGCCCGAACAGTGAGACAGACCATGTCACCCCCATGATCAGCAAACATTTGGAGCAGAAGGAAGCTTTTCTCAAGGTGAGGCAAAGGATATATCCCTACATGAAAATATGTTAAATGACTTTCTTTGTGTTCTTTTATTTTTTATTTGTTGTACATGCACAGTAAAATATCATCAGAATCCATATAAAACCTGGTTTATTTTTTTATAAAAATATTTTTTTACTGTTCATAACTCTTTCATCTTTCATTAAACTCACTATTTTATTATTTTTATTAAACTATTTTTTCCCCAGATTATTTTCAAAATCTTTCCTGTTCATGTTCAGTTTATGAAAGGACTAAAATGTATTTTTATTTTATCCAGGCCTGTACATTAGCCAGACGTAACGCTGACGTCTTCTTGAAGTACCTGCACAGGAACAGTGTTAACATGCCCGGCATGTTGTCCCATGTCAAAGCTCCAGAGACTCAGGTTAAGAGTAAGTTGACAGCTTAATGATAACCTTCTACAACACAGCACTGACACATCAGGCAAGGTGTTCAGCCACCTTTAACTTTTCCATGCAGTCATTTTTGTTTTTTTATTTTGAGTGTTAATAATGTATTTGGCTTTTGTGTTTTAATCAGATATCTTGAATGAGCTGCTGCAGAGGGAGAACAGAGTGCTCCACTTTTGGACCATGAGGAAACGGAGATTGGACCAGTGCCAGCAATATGTCGTGTTTGAACGCAGCGCCAAACAGGTGTGTGCTTGTGTGTTTCCGTTTTCTGTCCCCTCCCGTCCCCCCACCCCCCGATATCTCAGAGAAGATTGCTGCTAGAGGAAAAGGGCACTCTTTCTGTGCGAAAGAATCCTGTGTTTACTGAACTAAAACTGTCAGCCTGCTTCTTATTTTAGATAAAACATGGAGTCTGTGTTTTTTCTTCTTTAATGATAGATTTGAGTTCTAAAAGTGATGTCAGCTGGCAGATGTTGACAACAAAGATCTAAAGGCCTAACGACAACTATCATTATGTGGCACAGTAAACTCAAACGCTGGCTTTACGACAGTGCTTCAACCATCCTGTCATTTACCAGCGCTTAACATTTCAACTCATGTCAACTCAACAGTTTTTAGCTTTGCTGTTTTTGAAAAAGCCCATAATCTGAGTAGCAGTAGGGTCAAAGGTCAGGTCACATGAACAGTTAATATTTTTAATTAAACTTGACTTTTAATGATTTTAGACTGACCATACGTACAACAGTGTTTTGTTTTTGCCTCTACATCAACATCTGTGAATTACAGTGTCATAATTCCTGGATTTATTGCAGGAAGAGAACAGTGACAGTGTTACTGGTTAAGGTTAGTTAGGGTTAGTTTCTGACAGTACTGCCGCTGCTGCTACAGTAGCAGTCAGGGCTAGGTCCACAACCATCTACCATCACCTCATCTTAAGATAAATTAAATTACAGAATAAGCCACACTTCCTTTGTAAGTTGATTTCATTAGAATTTTAACTTTATATTCACTTCTAATTTTATAGTTATAGTCATAATATTTTAATCACAATAATCTACTTAAGTTTTATTATTTGAAACAAAGTAAAAATCTGAATTGTGTGTGCATGAGGCTAATTAAGAAACATGGCTCCCTCTTGTGGTGGTTAGATAACACTGCATTGCCTACAGCGTACTAACACAGTAGTATCAGATGATCTGAGAAACATTTTTCAGTCCCACTATTTACCTTGAATTATCCTGAATGTATTGGAAGTGAACATGTCACATGTAGATGTCAGTGTCAGTGTCCATACTTGTGTTTTCAGGCCCTGGAGTGGATCCATGACACCGGGGAGTTTTACCTGTCCACACACACCTCCACAGGCTCCAGTATTCACCACACACAGGAGCTGCTGAAGGAACACGAAGAATTCCAGATCACAGCAAAGGTGTGTTTTCGTGTTAGAGTTCACCGGGTGTACCTCATATTCTGGCTGTTATTTGCATGTTTGTAGGGTCGTGCACTCCACTGTGAGGCCCAATCCCAGGGCAGTGTATTGTCCTGATTCCTCTTTGCTCTGTCACTGTTATTGTGTTGGAGAACAAGCTTTTGTGTCCATCAAGCAACACCCTTTCCCAAACACACACACACTCTCACTCTCTCCCCCTCTCATTCTCTCCACATTGCTCTCTCTCTTCATATTCACCTTTCCTCTGTTGTCACTGTCTCTCTCTCTCTCTCTTTCTCTTTCTCTCCCTGTCCTCTCACTGATTGTGTATCTATTGACAGCAAACCAAAGAGAGGGTAAAGCTGTTGATCCAGCTGGCGGATGGGTTTTGTGACAAGGGGCACGCCCATGCCCTGGAGATAAAGAAATGGGTCTCTTCAGTGGACAAACGCTACAGGGACTTTTCTCTTCGCATGGACAAATACCGGACCTGCCTGGAAACTGCACTCGGCATTACATCGGATTCAAACAAGGCCGTGAGTAGTCGTCTGTATATTTTGTGCCAGTCAAAGCCTAATGCTGTTTAACACAAAGACAAAAGAGCCACAGTAGTTGTTAGAGTCGGGACACCTCACTTTGACAGTAGTTCACTGTAGTTTTTGATACAACTGCTGAAGGCGTCTGGTGATCAGATGACGGTGGATTTAAACCTGATCAGTTCTTTGTTGAGCTGGTGTCATCGCACTTCAACGTTGTAACTCATACTGGCAACTCATCTGTGCTGAGCCATGTGACAGCCATTGTCCTGTGTGCAGAGTAAAGAGTTGCAGTTGGACATCATCCCAGCAAGTGCTCCGGGGTCAGAGGTCAAGTTGAGGGATGCTGCCCATGAGCTCAACGAGGAGAAGAGAAAGTCTGCGAGAAGAAAAGAGTAAGTAGAGCAGACATTTCTATCTGACTGATAAACAACTGATTTACTGCTGCAGACCTGAGGAAACTGTAGTTCATAAAACTCATGTTTAAGAAAGTCACTGCTTGAAAGTACATTTTTATAATAGCCAAAAATAAGCAGCTAAAACTAGCATTTACCAATACTAATAATCACCACAACAGTTATGTCAAATATGTTTGACTCTTTCAGATTCATAATGGCTGAGCTGATCCAGACAGAGAAGGCCTATGTCAGAGACCTACGGGAATGTCTGGATGTAAGCTATTTTAACATGCTCAAAGAACACACACACACGTTCAAGGACAGGTTTTAAAAAAGGCTTTATTTCCTCCAATGTGTTGTGTAGACATACCTGTGGGAAATGACCAGCGGTGTGGAGGAAATTCCTCCAGGAATTGTCAACAAGGAGCACATCATCTTTGGGAACATGCAAGATCTCTATGAGTTTCATCACAAGTCAGTAGAGCCTCACCCAGTTCAGATTTAAATGAAAACATTTAGAGATTTTAATTCACCATCGTCGACTGCATGATACCTGCTGCTTATCTTTTTTTGTGTGTGAATCTGTGTTTGGAACAGCATCTTCCTTAAAGAGTTGGAAAAGTATGAGCAGCTTCCAGAGGACGTCGGACATTGCTTTGTAACTTGGGTATGAGATGAGATCTTTCTGTTTCTGAAAAAATGAATTTCTGTTTATCTTTCAATTTCAAAGACAACACTCATTCATGTCATGCTAATAATCCTTGTTGTTGATGTTGTTTCTTCCTCCGTAGGCTGATAAATTCCAAATGTACGTGAATTACTGTAAGAATAAACCTGACTCCACTCAGCTCATCCTGGAACATGCTGGAGCCTACTTTGATGTGAGTAACTCATTACAGCTGAAATGTATGATGTTTTAATGTGGATGCTGTGTATTCAGCACCCTGTGTTTGTGTGAAATGCCTTCAAGAGGATAACATGTAAAATTAGTTTCAAAAATTGTACCTCAACATCTCTTTATTGCACACACGTCTTTTTTGTGAACAGGAAATCCAGCAGAGGCATCGTCTGGCCAACTCCATCTCTTCGTACCTGATTAAACCAGTCCAGAGAATCACAAAGTACCAGCTGCTCCTCAAGGTACGGCACAGGCACTGACTTTATTATTCCCCAAACCAATATATACCAATTCTCATCCAAATCAGGATGATCCTGATCAAAGATGACTGCTTTGTTGTTTTCTTATCCTTCTCTCCTTTTTTCTGGATATAATGACTTTATTTTGTCAATCTTGGATTAAATCAACCATTAAAAAAACATTTATATTTGATGTCATAAAAATTGTACAAACCATAAAATAATTGATCAAATCTATTTAGTGATGCTACATACGGGTCTTTGGGTTCTGACCAAATACTGAGTAATGACTGTAGGTTAAAGGTTGACCTGTTAGTAGGATTACGACTTCAGCGTTGTCTCTCAGTGAGTGAGTGTTGAGTTTGTGTAAACTCTGCCTCTGTAGGAGCTGTTGACCTGCTGCGAAGAGGGAAAAGGTGAAATCAAGGACGGTCTTGAAGTTATGCTCAGCGTCCCTAAGAGAGCTAATGATGCAATGCACCTCTCTATGTTGGATGGTGGGTATAAACACACACACATACACACACACACTTACCTGAGTCACACACAGTTCCTCAGTGTACATTATAAACTCACTCACCTCTGTCAGTATATATTGGATAAAAGCCATTTAGCAGCAGTTTCCCATCTCTGAGTCAGAAACACTCAATGACATTTAAAAATGTATTGTATTTATTGTTTAGGTTTTGATGGAAACATAGACTCGCAGGGAGAGCTGATCCTCCAGGAGTCCTTCCAGGTCTGGGATCCCAAGACTCTTATTCGTAAAGGTCGTGACCGACACCTGTTCCTGTTTGAGATGTCGCTGGTCTTCAGCAAAGAAGTGAAAGATTCCAACGGCCGCAGCAAATATCTCTACAAGAGCAAACTTTTTGTAAGTAGTTTGTTGTTTCTGTGCAGAGAATCTCTGTGGAACCAGATGTTTCTGTCAGCCAGTGCAAACGACAAAAGGAATATTAGGGATCAATTATATGTTTATGTTATAAGTTTAATACTCTCACAACAGATACCATGTTTTCAAACCAGTACCAGTATTTTTTAGTTTTTTTGTGTACTTATTTTCATTAACATAAGACTTTTTCAATCCTAAAGTAACCAAATATATATGGATTCAACAAAAAGTCGTCCAACTGAATTATTATTATAACAGAAAGTGAGCAGAGCTTTTTGACCAATAGCTGACTTGAACATTTGGATTAGTATGGGGTTTTAAAAAAACAAACGCACATGTTTAAAAGTGTTACACTTGTGTGGTTTGCCTGCTGTTTATCTACATTTGATATTCTTCTACTCCTCAGACATCAGAGCTCGGTGTGACAGAACACGTGGAGGGAGATCCGTGTAAGTTTGCCCTGTGGGTGGGCAGGACCCCGACCTCAGACAATAAGATCGTTCTTAAGGTACGAAGACTTTTCTCTGCAAAAAAGGAACGTGACTTGAAACATATTTAACACAATACACACTTACATGATCCAATCCAGCTTAAGAAGTCCACTTCAGACTGCAGTGGTGGCCTGCTGCTTTCTAGTGCGTATTCACTTATTGCAGAGAATCTAAGAAAAGCTGTTAAAGGGTCAGAAGGCGAGCTGAGGAGAATTCTGGCCGTTGTTACGCAGTGAGTCAGAAGCAGTGATTTATCCTGAGTGCGTGGACGATGTTAGATTGGAGATAGGAGCTGCTCAGAGTATCCCCAGTGAACGTGTGCTGCACTGCAGTATGTTTCATTACTTATCTGTCAACAGTGATCGTCGGAATTTGACTCAGTGCCACAGCAGCCTTGGTGTCACTGGTTGCTAAGTGAAGCAGGAAGAGACGGATGACGGTAGTCAGATGCTAAATACAGTGTCAACGGATGGGCTCAGTGACGTCTGTAAACACAGGGCTGATAATAAATGCACATACTGTCCCTGCAGTGTCAGTGTGGCGGGTTTTTATGACAGTAATTCATTTATTTGAGATAACACGGAGGTTACCTGTGCTCTTCACATTTACTCACATCAGCATGGCCAACAGTGCTGAGATGAGGGAATGATTCCACGGCCTGTGACTCTGATGCTGATTTTGTGCTGTGCCTCAGGCTTCAAGCATTGAAAACAAGCAGGACTGGATCAAGCACATCAGAGAAGTGATCCAGGAGAGAACTGCTCACCTGCGTGGAGCTCTGAAGGAGCCCATCCACATCCCCAAAACCACCACAGCCAAACATAAAGGCAGAAGGTGAGAGGACCAGGTTGTGCACAAGGCAGTATCTACATTAAGGGCTGCTCAACAGACCAGATGCAGCTCTATCCTGCATACAGCAACTGTTAGAGTGCATTGACAACACACAGTTGGTCTTTACTCATGTAATTGCAAAATTTATTTTCACCAAACTAGCAAAGTATAAAAATTGTTTTAAAAGTCAGAAATTGTATTTTCATAATTAAATCAATAACAATATAATACATTGAGTAACAGTAACTTAGCCGCAGTGACTTGGTCCATATGGGTGGAAAATGAACATGGAAAAACCCACATGAATCCCACTGTTGCAGATGAATTTATTCACTTATAAAGTAACTTATACAATATCATGTTGAATTTACAGGGATGGAGAGGAGTTTGACATTCATGGAGATGCCAGCAGCCAACCTGACACCATTTCTATTGCCTCGCGTACATCCCAGAATACACTGGACAGTGACAAGGTATTAGGACACACACACACACACACCCGTCTATAAACAAGGCATTGCTGCTTTTACCCTGTATTCCAGATTGTCATCTTTATGGCTGTATAATGGTGTTCAGTCTGATGCAGTGCATTACCAGCCCACAAGGGGGCAAGATTTACCTTAAAGCTGGAGAATTGTATTTCTTTTTCTTCTGCAACATAAAAGATCTTTTTTTTTTGTTTTTATTATTATATTATATTATATTTTAGACCTACAGAATGACACTGTACGTACTAAAAAACACTTTCTTTTTCCTTTCAGCCCAAATCCACACACACAGACACCTTCACTAATTTCTTTCATTAGTTTTCTGTGCAGTCACAGTGGGTTTGTGTATGATGTCACTCAGTGACATGATCGTCAGAAGCTGCAGCTTGTGTGAATGAAAGAAAGTCTCCCTAAGTTGTTTCCTGTGAAACTATTTAGTATGTGTTCGGAGAAAGGCCATCTGACAGAGCTTTGAAGACTTGTGCGTGTGTGTGTTTGTGTACGCGTTTGTGTGTGTATGTGTTTGTGTGTGTGTATGTGCAAGTGAGTTTAGTCTCATTATGAATAGAGACAATCAGCGGTGGTTATATCTGGTAATCGCACCACAGAAGGTCGGCCCTCCCACGCTCAGTATGAGCAAACACAGAAAACACACACAAACACATACAGCGAACGAAGAGAAAGTGTGTGTTCTTTAATGATTTTTAAATGTTTTTCCCCTCCGCTTTAATCAGGAAATGAACTAATCTTATTTGTTGTACCTGGTTAGTGAACCGTTTCCACGAACAGCTCTGCACCGAGGCCCTTTCACACACAGGCACACAAATTCCTGTGTGCGTGTGTGTCAATTGACTGCTAACACAGAGCCTAATTA